AAATAAAAATATCAGTATTTTCCATAGGATTTAAATAAGATCCAGAGTCTTATAATATTCAAATGTCGAGGATACAATCCAAGCTTACATGGCATATGAAGAGTCAGTAAACCTCAATTCGCGTGGGAAAAGGCGATCAATAGACATCAATGATGAAATGACACAGATGTTGGAATTATTAGAAAAAAGTCACTATTATAAAAATGTCTTGAGGGAACATCCCTGGGAGTCCAGTGGTTAAGACTCCCACTTCCAATGCAGGTTGCTCAGGCTCTCCCTAAGGTCCCAAATCCAGTTACACTAGAAGGGAGAAGTTGGCGTTAGATGTGTAACAAAGACTCTGCTGTTGGCAGGGGGCAGCCTGGCCTTGTATAAAATGACAACTTCTGTAGCAAACCTGTGAATAATGGTGGAGGACACTTTCTACAAATTGGTTCAGAAAATACGTAGCATAAAGCAGAAACAATAGGTTTTCGATCAAAGTACCTGCTGATTTTTGTTCTTGGCACACATTTCTCTAGGGCTTCTAACAAAAGTATTCAAAAATATTTTCTAGGTTTGTTGACTGTATAAAATCCTCTTATGTGTATATTTTGACATGAGTTAAATGACCTGAGTTTCTCTGACTAAAATATTGAAATCAGTCTTGTTATAATCAGTACTGCATGGTATTGGTGCAGAATGCTATTCCTTTCTTCTCACATTTCCACAGAAGGGAGGGAACTTCCATTCCCCATAAGGATATAGTCTCTCTTTCCTCTCCCATTTCCCCAAGCGAACAGTGACCTATCTGATGGGTAAGAAGTGGAGAATAAGCTCTGAGACCTCCCTCTTCTGAAGTGGCCAGTCCTCCAGACCCACTCTCAGCTCCCCCATCTCCACAAGGGAGACCTGGAGATGTCTGGCTATGCCAACAACTGAATAAGTAGATTCAGTTTGAGGAGGATGTCTGGGAAGTGCTTCTGGCTCATATCCAAATCACCATCTCTCTCTCATTCAGCTTTTCCAGTAATAAAGCTAATTTTGATCTCCGGCTATCTGACTCCTATGTCTGCTTTTCCATTCATTACCTTTTTGCAAACCTTAGCATGTAGTTGTTCACTCAGAGAAAATTGTTCTTCTTTCATAGAGTAATATTACCATCTTGTAGCCTTCTATGATTTGTATAAATCATCTCATATTTTTCATATTCAAATTGGTCATCCTGTCCTATGTGGCTTTAGGATTCCATTTCATGCTTAGGAAGGTCATCTATATCTCCATGTTATAAAATGATTTTCATAGATTAATCTAAATAGATAGGGTGTGTGCTTAGTAGATACTTAAACTTATTAACATTTTGATAGCCTGAATTGTACATTAAAATCAACAGGCTCCAGGACTTCCCTGGTGGTCCATTGGTTAAGAATCCGCCTGCCAATGCAGGGGCAGGTTCGACCCCTGGTCTGGGAACTAAGATCCCACATGTTGCCAAGCAACTAAGTCTGTGAGCCAGAACTACTGAGTCCACATGCTCTAAATAGAGCCCATGCTCTGCAACAAGAGAAGCCACCTCAATAGCCTCAAAAGCCTGCTCACTGCAACTAGAGAAAGCTCACGTGCAGTGACAAAAGCCCATGCACCACAGCAAAGACCCAGAGAAGCCAAAAATAATAAATAAATAAATAAAATAATTTTTTTTTAATCCATAGGCTCCTACCTTAGAGGATTTGAAATTTTTTTGCCTTTAAAAGAAAAAATTCTGTTTCATTCCAATGTCCTAGTCCTCCCCGTATGTTTATTCACACACACACACACACACACCCCTTAAATTGTTTTGATATCAGAAATATCCTTAGTTTTTCTGAAGACATATACAGCACCTACCTTTTTGTTAAAATACTTTTTATTGTCATATATTTCATAGATCATATATTATATGGTGTCAAGCAATTTTAAACATGTTTTTTTCTGTATTGGACCTTTCTGTCTTAGTCAAGAATTAGCTAATTAGCTATTACTGAAACTGTACTGCATCAAGGTTTCCAACTGGGTAAACAGCTGTGCATTTTCCCCTCCTCTCCACACACCATCCTCTGACATGCCCTGATACTAGCCAAGCCTTGGTAGCAACCAAAAAAAAAAAAAGACTATATTCCATAATAATTGTCACAGTCTTTGTGCCCAGCCCTTATTTTGGTAAGTGCACCAAGACACATTTAGTCCACAACACCACCGGATGTCTAGGACCTAGCATAGCATTGGACACCAGTGCTTAATAAGTTTCATTTAATGGATATATGAATGAATGAATTCACAACAGAATTCTTTTAAATGTTATGTACTCCTATGACATTGAAAATATAGCTTGTTTCATTAAATGGGAGTTATACCATTTGTACGGAACACATTCATAGACCCATAATTATGGCAATAATCTCACTTCCTTAGTTCTACTTGTAGTTTTATACACTTTGGACACTTCAACTTTCATGGACCCAGGAATATGTTATTCCCCTTGTTATACTCACTTCTCATTTGAACTCAAAGAGATTAAGATGAATTGAATACCAATTAGGAAAAATTCTGTTTTGGGGGTTGAATCCTTAGGAGTCTCTCCAGCTCCACCTCTGTTGACTTTCTTTTAAAAAAAAATTATTACTGTTATCATTTATTTTGGCAAGTGCTGGGTCTTTTTGTGGCACACAGGCTTCTTTAGTTACAGGGCTTGGGCTTAGTTGTAGCTTGTGGGATCATAATTCCCTGACCAGCAATGGAACCCGGGCCCTCTGCATTGGGTGCCTGGAGTCTTAGCCACTAGACCACCAGGAAAGTCCCCTCCATTGACTTCCTAATGTTCTCTGAGTCACTTGTTCCTTTAGTGTTTCTGCTTCTAGATATAACATCTCTCCAAGTGGTCTGTGCTTGCCTCTCCTAACTGGAAACGTCCGCTGCTCAGTGTCCACCCAGCAAGGAAGCAGCTCACCTGCACGCGTCTCAATTCCACCTCTCTCTTCTGTCATCCCTGTCCTTGAGAGGCCCTGGTGAGTGCTGGCCAGGTCCACTCAGTTCTCTGATTGACCCCCTTTGGCAACAATAGTAGATGCTGTTGGTGTCCATCTGAGACCACCTGCAGCTGCAGGAGACACTTGCCAACATGCTAACAGTGTCCCACCCCAAGTACCTGTGTCTTGTCTCTCTGGTTCTCAGATCTGATTCTTCTTCATTTTCATGTTTTCTGAAATCAGCTATTTACGAAGTCTTTGCTCCCATGAATGTATTTTGCTCTATGTGTTTGCTGTTTTTTCAGCAATGATTCTAACATGGGGTGTTAGAGAAAGTAGAAATGTATTGAGGCTAGATTTCCACCCTAGGTGCTGTGTGTGTGTGTGTGTGTGTGTGTGTGTGTGTGTGTGTGTGTGTGTAAATCAGTTCTTTCTTTTCTTTTTTGGCCACACTGCACAGTATATGAGATCTTAATTCCCCAACCAAGTATCAAACCTGCACCCCCAGCATTGGAAGCATAGAGTCGTAATCACTGGGAAGTCTCAGCTCTTTCTTTTTCTATAACTAAAAAAGGACATGCCTAAAGTTAGAAAATATGTGTATCAAACAGCACAGAGAACAATTCAGACTCCTAATCTCATTTTCAAGAGGCAACAATTATTGCTAACTTTCTAATGTATTCTTCTAGAAATATTCCAAGTATAAAATGCATAAGTATCTAATATGGATTCCTTTTTTTACCTGAAGGAGAGCATAAAATACAGTTTAAATTTCACCATTTATATCATGGTTCATTCCAAATAGAGCTACTTTACTTTTTCCCCATAACAATGTTCTATTTGGAAATGCCATAACTTACCTAACCTATCCTTTTTGGGCATTTGGGTTGTTTAATTCATTTACTATCACAAACAGCTCTACCTTGAACTTCCTTGTTGTTCAGTTGCCAAGTCATGTCCAATTCTTTGCGACCCCATGGACTGCAGTGCGCCAGACCTCCCTGTCCCTCACCATCTCCTAGAGTTTTCTCAAACTCATGTCCATTGAGTCAATGATGCCATTTAACCATCTCATCCTCTGTCATCCCCTTTTCTTCCTGCCCTCAATCTTTCTCAGCATCAGGGTCTTTTCTAATGAGTCAGCTCTTTGTATCAGGTGTCCAAAGTATTGGAGTTTCAGCTTCAGCATCAATCCTTCCAGTGAATATTCAGGATTGATTTCATTTAGGACTGACTGGTTTGATCTCCATCCTTATACACATGTTTTTGTACAAGTACACTTTTATTAACACTTAAGATAACCAATATCTCACCTTTTGATAATTAGTGGGAGAAAAAGAACTTTCTATTTCAATTTGCATATCTTATATCTTAAGTTGGGTGTTTTATATGTTTATCAAACCATTGATATTTCTTTGATTTTTTTGCCCATTTACTTACTGATGTGTAAGATAAAAAATGTTTATGTTAAGATTAGCTCTTGATCTTCCCTAGTGGTCCAGTGGTTAAGAATCCTCCTGCCAACACAGGGGACATGGGTTCGATCCCTGGTCTGAAAAGATTCCACATGTTGTGGGGGAGGGGGCAACTAAGCCAGTGCACCACAATGAAGAGTAGTCCCTACTTGCTGCAACTACCAGAAAGCCTGCTTGCAACAATGAAGACCTAGTGCAGCCAAAAATAAATAAGTAAATAGATAACATTTTTTAAAGATTAGCCTTACAATCATAGTCTTACAAATATGTTGTCTTTTGCCTTTTCATCCCAACAGTCTTTTCATTCCAAATTTAAAACTTTGTATACTTTCTAATTTATTATTTCCTCTCTGGCTTCTGGGTTTTATGTCATACTTAGAAAAGCCTTCCTCACTACGAAATTATTTTATGAAACGCCGTGATAATTTCCCTGGGTATTTTCCCAGATTCTTTGTTACATTTAAGAGTCCAGTCTATCTAGAAATTATTTCCACATAGCCATCAGCTCTGATGTTTGTCTTTTCTAATCTTGCCTTTTTGATCAATGACCCAGCTTCCTGGGAGCTGCAGAAAAATCCGTATTTTCCGGACCCTTGGAGATGTGACGGAACCTGGCTGATGGACACATGCCTGGTGTTGTGACCTAGAGCCCCCCACCTTCTCTCCTGCTCACTGAGTCCTGGGCCCAGACTCCAGCAGGGAACCTGGGCAGCTCACTGGAGCCTGTGAGCTCCAGGGGGCCCCACAGTGACCTGGCTGCCCATTTGACTGTAGCATGGGCTGTAACACTTCCTCTGCAAACTCAGCCTGGCTCCCTTCCTCTCTTCCCTCTCATTCCATCTGTGCACAGCCCTGCCAGCTCTCCTCTCAGGACATTTGCATCATGCGGCAGCAGGTGGGCTCTTGGGGACGGCTTCACTGAGCCATGGTCTGCTCGGCTGCGCCTGTGCTGCTCCTGGCCATGACTCTCGCTCTGGTGGAGCCACCAGCTGCCCGAGCATCCCAGCCTGTGAGTAAGCCTGGGTGAGGACCATGAGAAAGTCTGAAGAGGTGATGGTAGGGGCCTCTGGGTGTGAGAGGCAGCACAGTGTAGGATGAATGGATGGGTGGGTGGGAGAGTGCTGGAAGGAGGGGAAGTCATGCTTTTTTTTTTTTTTTTAATATTTATTTATTTGCCTGAGCCAGGTCTTAGTTGCAGCATGTAGGATCAAGTTCCCTGACCAGGGATCAAACCCAGGTTCCCAGAACTGGGAGCACAGAATCTTAACTACTGAACCACCAGGGAAGCCCCTGTAACATATTTTTTTAAGAGGATGGTTTTTTATGAGAGAGTTCAGCCTGATTTTTCAGAGTGTGAGGATAGCTTTTGTTTCTTTATTTGAATTCTTATGAACACCAGTGATGCCTGCTGCACTTTAGGTAAAGGCTCTTCCAGTCAAGTTGCTACTTAAAAATGAAAATAAAAACTTGCCAAATTCTGGCATAGAGGAGGAGAGAATCTGAGGAAAGTTAGCAGTATCTAGTCTGGCACTTTATGAGTTGTGTGTTCTCCCAGGTGGTTATCTATCTATCTCTAGCCACATACTCATCTAGAGCATATCTGTTTTTAGACTGACCTCCTCACACACGTGCAATTTTGAGAGAGGGAGATGTGGGTGAGGAAATATGTACACACACCAGAGACCTAGGTATTGCTTCTGCTTACCCTCATGGCAATTGCTATGGAGGGAATAATCTCCAAGCTTCCCTGATAGCTCAGTTGGTAAAGAATCAGCCTGCAATGCAGGAGAAACCAGTTCCATTCCTGGGTACGGAAGATCCTCTGGAGAATGAATAGGCTACCCACTCCACTCCAGTATTCTTGGGCTTCCCTCGTGGCTCAGCTGATAAAGAATCCGCCTGCAATGCAGGAGACCTGGGTTCAATCCCTGGGTTGGGAAGATCCCCTGGAGAAGGGAAAGGCTACCCACTCTAGTATTCTGGCCTGAAGAATTCTGTGAACTGTTTAGCCCTTGGGGCCGCAAAGTCGGACACGACTGAGCGACTTTCACTTTCTTTCTGGGTTCCAGGCAGCTCTACCCAACCCACCTCACTGGAGCTCCAGACCCAGTCATTTCAATCAGCCTAGAGGCCCAGGGATGGGCTTCCCAGGTGGTACTAATGGTAAAGAACCCTCCTGCCAAAGCAGGAGACATAAGAGACATAGGTTCGATCCCTGGGTCGGGAAGATCTTCTGGAAGAGGGCAAAGCAACCCACTCCAGTATTCTTGCCTGGAGAATCCCCATGGACAGAGGAGCCTGGAGGGCTACAGTCCATGGGGTCGCCAAAAGTCGTGGAGGGGCTTGGCGCACACACACAAGGGCTTGGCGCTCTGTGAGTACAGAGCCAGGGATGGGTGCATTCAGGAAGGAATTAAGCAAAGCTTGTTGACTCTCCAGGGCGTGCCAGGTTCCTGGGTTCAGGTGGGCCTTGCCGGCCTGGGAGGGATCCCTGGGGCTGCAGTCAGGCACCTCCTACCAAAAGCTGGCTTTCCCCTCCTGCTCTGCCCGCTTGATTCCAGTCAACAAGAGGAGCTTCCGAGAGACCACGTCACAGCAGATTAGCCAGGCTGCCGCCCCCCACCCCCCAGCAGCTTAGAGAAGAAGGTGTCCCCAGAGAAAGGCAGGGTTCAGCTCTCCTCAGAGTCTCTCTGTGCTCTGTTCCAGGGACAGAGTCAGGCTCGAGGGGGATCAGGGCCACAGCTGGACCCCGAAAGTGGAGCAGGTGGTGAGTGGACGAATGGGAGGGTGGGGAGCAGGGAACGAGGCAGAAAGAAAGGTCTGGGAGAGGCACTGCCGAGGGGGAGGGCAGTGCGGGTCAGAGAGAGACCAGGTCTGGCACTGGTCACAGGTGCGAAGGCAGCCCTCTAGCTGTGAGGTCTTGACAAAACCTTTTTCCTCCTGGAGAGTCTCACCTGTATAAGGGGGGTTGTTGGGAGGGCCACATGAAGCGGCATGTGTGATGGGTGAGCAGAGCCCACCTTCCTGGGTCCTGTCTGCACGGACCTGTCTGCATGGGCTATGGGAGGAGGAAGGTGGGACGTCTTCGGGTTCCTGGAGGGGACAGCTAATGTCGGGCCCTCAGCAGCCGCTCCTTTCCCTCCAGCTCTCCCCTCTCCAGCAGAACTGCTCCTGGTCACCGTCTACGTACAGCTGGACTTCTCTGATGCGCCCTGGCGGGCTGCACTCTCCCAGCCCCTGACTGTCCCAGCTGCCTCGGTTTCCTCAGCCCCAGTGACTCTCGCTGGCCTCAACCTCACAACAGGTGGGGAAGAACCTCTCCTGACCCCCGGCCTTTCGATGGCTCTTAGCTGCTCAGGTGGGAGGGGGAGCTCAGGGTGCAAGGAGCCCAGCCCTCCCACAGCGCCCTGGTCTGAGATACTGCGGGGAGCCCCTCCCTATTTCTTGGAGGGTCTATGTGCCCAGCTTCTTCCCCACCTCCCATCGGACAGACCTTCCCTTCCTGCTCCATGTCCCCATCTTCTAAACTTTGGCAGAGGCCCAAGGGGCAGATGATGCTGAGCCGGGGCTTCTCTCCTCCCACCTCGGATGCCTTTGCCCAGCACGCTCTGCTGCTTTGAACCCTGGCTAGGAAGGCAGTGACTTTGGGATTGTTCCAGAAACCCAGCCCTAGGGCCTCGCAGACAGCAGGCATTGGGCTTTCCCAGACACCCTTTCACAGACACCCAGACACTTCTCATTTCCCTTCCTTCTGTCTCAGAGTGCAATGTTACCCATGATGGGTGCAGCTACTGTGCTTGCCTCTCTGGGTACCAGTGGAACGCCAGCATCTGCAACCATCACCAACCCTGTCACACCCCCATCAAGCACCGGCCGTGTGGCTGTCTTGTTCTGAGCCCTACTGAAGCCGGGTACTGCCAGCTGTTGCCACCTGGTGAGGAAGGCTGGGAACTTGGAAACCAATAGCCTCGAGTGAACAAAACCCTCTCTGTTTCTTCCTCTCTGACGGCTGTAATCTCTGCCAGCTGGTCCAAGCCCAGCGGCTCCTCTGGGTGAGAGAAAATGCCAGGTATCACAGCAGATCACAGGCCCCACACTTGGGACAGGAATAGTGAGACTAACCAACAATAGGGCTCTGAAGACAGGTGGACAAGGAAAGTTTCCTTTCTGGTGGAGGGGGAAGTCCTGGGTCAAAAAGCTTTCCTGTGTGGTTCCTACTGACAGATAGGGTCTCCCAGGCTGGACTGCAGCAGCCACACTTCTCCAGGGACAAAAAAGGACAATTAGTGTCGGGTGGGGAAGGAGTGAGGAGAGATGGGCTTCGGAAGATGGGGGAGGAGGGTGAGGCTCCAGGGCCACAAGTTCCTGCTCCGGGGGTCCTGTCTCCTGCCTCCTGCAGTCCCCGCGACCCTGAGCCTTGACTCCTGGCTGCAGATGCCTGGCGACACCCTGAACCTGACCCTCCTCACGAACCAGGAGACCACCAACCTGAACTGGTTCCTGTGGCCCACAGGAAGCCCCAGCCCCATCCTTCTGCGGGCAGGGACCTGTGTGTCCTTGACCTCCAGCCGGGGCCGGACTGTCCTCAGCATCATCAACATCTCCCATAGATGGGCAGGTAGCCTGCCTGTCGCTCCCTCCCCCTCTCCTGCCTTCACGCTCCTCCCCTTCTTTCTTCTCTCCTCTTCCTCTCCTCCCCTCCAGCTCCTCCTCCTCTCTCTCTCCTCCTTCCTTCTTGTCTTTCCTCCTCTTCATTTTCCTTCTCTCCGTTTATACATTCTGGTGAAACAAAGGCTAAGAAGCCCATGGATGTGAAGAATTTTGATGAGAAAATGCTGAAAGTGTGATCTCAATTTCAACTGAGGACAGATGTGGGCTTTTCCTCATGATGCCGAGATGGCAGCGGGTGGTGCGGGAAGAGCATCTCCTGGAGACAGGGAGGTTCATCTTAGGATGCACAGTGACCGGCTCATGACAAAGCATCAGGATCTCCTCTTCCTCCTAGCTGTCCTTGAGGGCACAGGGATCTTTCCTACTGGGGTTTAGCTCAGGCTTGATGGAGAGGGCAGACCTAGGGTGTGGCTGGGGAGGCAGGAGGGGCTGTGCAGTACCGGTGGGGGCTGAGCAGCTGAGAGGTGCAGCAGGCGTGTGTCTGCAGGTGAGTACATATGCCACTTCGAGGCCCAGGGATTCAGGTGGGAGCTGCACCAGGTGGTGAGGGTGCCCCTGCAGGCAACAGATGTGACTGGACTCCCAGACCAGCTCTCCGTCTCCTGTGCCACCTCCCCCGGCTTCCAGCTGAGCTGCTGCATCCCCAGCGCACATCTGGGCTACACGGCTTCCTGGAGCCCCAGAGAGGGTAGCCAAGGTATGGAACGGGGCCAGCTGTCTCGGGGGGCCAGGGAGAAGGGGAAGCTAGTCACCTCCAGGCAGCTGGGGCTCCAGCTCCCAGGAAACAGGCTGCCATTCAACTTGGAAGTTCCGGGTCCAAGTCCAATACTGTTTTGACCCCAGTTCTATTCAACAATAACCACCTGTGTGTAGACAACTTTCACATCATGCTTTCATCCACACGATCTCCTGGAACCCACCCAATGCTACTGTGCAAGCTTCCTCTGATGATAGTCCCATTTTACAAAGGAGTCCACTGCGGCTTCAGGGCCTGGAGCTTATAAGACACCCCCGACACACACACCAGGGTCTCCCAGCCCCAAATATCAGCTCAGCCTGCAGTAGTCTGCTGCCCACATACCACTCAGCTTTTCTCCACTATTTCATCTGCTCCTGAAATTGCTAGAAAGACCCCAAGGGGTCTAGGTGTGTCCCTGGCCCAGAGACCATTCCCTTCTCATGTCTCCTTCAGCCTCCGTGTTCAACGCGCCGGACTCCCAGTGCTTCACGCTGGCTGTTGAGCACTGCCCTGCAGCCAACACCACGTACGCTTGTGAGCTGCAGAGCCCCGGTCTGAGCCCCCTCAGGGTCGCCGTCTCTGTCACCATCATCCGGGGTACGTGGGGCCTGGGATCTGGCCGGCCATCCTCTCACTGCCCACCCTGGGAGCTCCCCCAGGTGTCTCCCCAGGCTGGGCACCACAACCAGACTCCACAGCCTGCTGCTCAAGGAAAGGCTCAGGCTTGAATGTGCTGCTAAGCCCTCCCTGATGTCATTTCAGATGGAGACACCACCTGCCCTGAGGACTCTTCAACTGTCTCCTGGAACGTCACCAAGGCTGGCCACGTGGTACAGGCCCAGTGTCCCGGGAACAGGACGGGCACGGTGAAGAGGCCCTGTGGGCCTGATGGGGTCTGGGGACCCATCCACAGCAGCTGCACAGACTCGGGGCTCCTGGCTCTGCTCCTCAGAGCCCAGGTAAAGCTTCTGACCCTGCTGCCCACATGCCCCATCCTCCATGATCAATCCCTTCCTCACTCAGGACCCAGCTTTAGAGTCCTTTCCCCCCGAGGCCCAGCAGTAAGGTTATTCAGCTTCTCTGAACTGGAGCCCTAGCAGAGCCAGGAAGCAGGTGTTGAGACCCTACTACCCAGTGTTGGCGTAGTCCCAAACCTCCATGCCCGCAGGTATCTGCTCCACAGACCTTGGTGTGAATTCCTCCCACATTCCCCTCTCTGCTTCCTGCTCCCCTGGGATGGGGTGTGGGGAGAAAGAAAGGAGGTGCTGGGCTGGGAAGGAAGTGGCCTCTCCTTCTTGAGGGCTCACCTACCCGTCTTCTGCTGTCTTATCTGTCTCAAGCTGCTGCAGGCAGGCCAGGGCTGGCCTGAGGAAGAGGTGTCACAGATCTTGGCTCAGCTGCAGGAGCAGGTAGTGGCAGTGACCTCCCCCTCCGACTTACTGGCCCTGGTGGGCACCATGACAGTCCTGGCCAAGGTGGTGGCAGACACCGGAACACAGCTCAACTGCAGCGCCCTGGAGGTGAGATCTCTGAATCACGTCAGGGGCCAGCTGGGTAGTAGGGGCAGGAGGCTCTTCCCCCAGGTATTTCTGTCCCTCTGACATCACCATGGGCTGTCAGATGGCAGACCTTTCTAGAGTCCAAGTGTCTGCTCTCCTGGTCCCTTTCTCCTCCTGCATACGCCAAGACCATGGAGCGTGGAGAAGGCAAGATGCTGGGAACACATGGGAGGCTGGGGAAAACAGGAAGGAGTGTGGAGATAGGAGTTCAGAGGTGTTCATGTGTGTGCAGACATGTGGACTTGATCTGAATCCCCCCAGGCCCACACACAAGGTACCTGCATGAAGGTACTCAAACGCACTTGGCTTTGTGGGACCCACCTAAACCAGCTCTCAGTATAGGCACCAGGTGGTGACCCCTAAGCTGCAGCCAAAGGAATAATCAGGGACAATGACCCTGCACACCCTTCATGTCTGGAATGTGCATCACTTGTGGCTACAGACATGCAGGTGGTCCTCTACTTCAGAGCGTGTTCCCTCTACCACTGGGCACCATTCCTAGCTTTACAGACCTGGAGGGGCTCCTTTAGGACATTAGAGGCCCCAAGGGATGAAAGGGGGAGGTGGGTTGTCATACGGAGGGGTGGGGTGTTCCTCAGGAGCCACATATTGAAGGCACCCCAGCAGCTGGCTGAACAACCCCCCACCCTTCCCATTTAGAAAGTCTCTCTTCACAGGCCCATCTTCCTCTCCCTCTTTCTCCCCATCCTTGGGTCTTGAGCTGGACTTGGAAGGATAGCTTTGGGGTCTGTGGTTCCCAGCGCCCCAGCTCAATGCTGTGAGCTCTGGCAGCCAGGCCTCGTCTCTCTATTGGGTGCCGCAGGCTGTCCTGAAAATCACAGACAAGGTCCTTGGCATGAACTCCAGCTCTCTGTGGACCCCAGCCCAGAGGCAGATGCCCTCGGTGGGCTCCAGTCTCCTGCTGGCGGTGGAGACCCTGGCACGCAGCCTGTGCCCACAGGACCAGCCTTTCTCCTTCGTCTTGCCCAACGTGCAGCTGCAGAGCCAGCTCCTCGAGCCCACATTTCCAGCTAACTACAGAGCCTCCTTCCCTACTCAGCCTCCACTGCGGGCATGGATTCCCAGGCACTCACTGGCACCCCTGCGCTATAACGGAACCAACGTCAGCATTACTAGCCTGGTGCTGCAGAAACTGGACCACCTTCTGCCCTCAAACTACGGGCAAGGGCTGGGGGGCTCCCTCTATGCCACTCCTGGTCTGGTCCTCGCCATCTCCATCATGGCAGGTGGCCAGGTCTTTAAGCAGGTAGAGGTCACCATGGACTTTGGGGACACAGATGGCAGTCCCCACTGTGTCTTCTGGGACCACGATCTCTTCCAGGGCAAGGGAGGCTGGTCAGATGCAGGGTGCCAGGTGCAGGCAGCCAGTGCCAGCCCCACCACTCAGTGTATCTGCCGGCACCTCACTGCCTTCTCCATCCTCATGTCGGGACACACGGTTCCAAACCACCCCACCCTGGAGCTGCTGAGTCAGGTGGGGCTGGGAGCCTCCATTCTAGCCTTGCTCATGTGCCTGGGCGTGTACAGGCTGGTGTGGAGGTTTGTGGTGCAGAACAAGGTCGCCTACTTACGCCACTCGGCCCTGCTCAACATGGTCCTCTGCCTGCTGGCCGCAAACACCTGCTTCCTAGGAGCTCCACTCCTCCCTCCGGGGCCCCACAGCCCGCTCTGCCTGGCTGCTGCCTTCCTCTGTCACTTTCTCTACCTGGCCACCTTCTTCTGGATGCTGGCTCAGGCCCTGTTGTTGGCCCACCAGCTTCTCTTTGTCTTCCATCAGCTGTCCAAGCTCCGAGTACTCTCCCTGATGGTGCTCCTTGGCTACCTGTGCCCGATGGGTTTAGCAGGTATCACCCTAGGACTCTACTTACCCCGAGGGCAATACCTGAGGGAGGGGGCATGCTGGCTGGACAAGAAGGGAGGAGCACTCTACACCTTCGTGGGTCCAGTGCTGGCCATCGTGGGCGTGAATGGGCTGGTACTCACCATGGCTGTGCTGAAGCTGCTGAGACCCTCGCTGTCAGAGGGACCCCAGGTGGAGAAGCGCCAAGCCCTCCTGGGGGTGATCAAAGCTCTGCTCGTTCTTACACCTATCTTCGGCCTCACCTGGGGGCTGGGGCTGGCCACTCTGCTGCAGGAAGTCTCCTTAGTCCCTCACTACCTCTTCACAGTTCTCAACGCCTCCCAGGTGGGTGACACGGTGGCAGCCGTGCTCTTTGCCCTGTTAGACAGCCTAGGTCACTGCCAGTCCCTTCTCAAGGAGGTATCACGATGGAGCAGGAAAACACAGGCGCAGGAATTTTAAAAGGCTTAAGTCTGTATCCCAGTTCCTCCACGGACTGCTAGGAAACTTTGGACAGACTTCTTTGAGCTTTGTTTCTCTTATCTGTAAAACATCTGGAATTGCTATTGAAGTCATGGAATTGCCAGTACCCTATCTTTTGATATTCATCTTCCTCATAACAGTAAGAAAAGCATCTGAAATGGATCCTATGCATCAAGTGATGTTAATGCTCAGAACTGAGATGGGAAGCCTCAGGATGGGAATTAGGCAAAAGGACAGAGGTTGAAAGGCAATGAGTTGATTTCAGTTGATTCCTTTCTCCTTAACTAACGGATCCCCATATCCCTCTTTTCAGGGTGTCTTCATCTTACTGTTTGGTTGCCTCATGGACAAGAAGGTGAGTCTACTTGTCTCCTCATGCCTGACTTGCACTGGAAGGCCATGCATAACAGCATTCACCTCTCCTGCAGGTCCAAGAGGCTTTACGCAAACGCTTCTGCGGCAGCCAACCCCCCAGATCCACCAACTCCTTGGTGAGTTGCTGGCTTCAAGTTTCACTTTGATCCCTGAGAGCAGGTCAAAAGTAGATGTTCCACAGCCTTTGGAGGAGACAGGCACAGCTAGAATCCAAGAGAAAACTGGGGATTTAGGGCCAGCTCTCCAACAGCAGAGAAAGCAGCCCAGGCAGAGGACAGATTCAGGTTCCCGGGCTCCTGATTGTATCCTGGACTCCTGGTAACTCTGATTGTCCCTTGTTCCCCTCTCTGAAAGTCTGCCTCCAGTTGGCATTTGAAAAGTAAGATAGGTACGCATGGGAGTCACTGCAGCTGGGAGCAAAGTTCCTAGGATTTCTGCTGCCCAGGCAGGAAGCCAAGTGAAAATGTAGAAATGGATACAATCCATCAAAGGAGAGATGGCAATAATAATAATCATTCTGCAGTTGGGCCTTTCCACCCCTTCAGACTTCCCTGGTGGCTCAGATGGTAAAGCATTTGCCTGCAATGTGGGAGACCTGGGTTTGATCCCTGGGTTAGGAGGATCCCCTGGAGAAGGAAATGGCAACCCATTCCAGTACCTTTGCCTGGAAAATCCCATGAACAGAGGAGGCTGGTAGGCTACATCCATGGGGCTGCAAAGAGTTGGACATGACTGAGTGACTTCACTTCACCCCTTCCTAGGCCACAAGTGAAACCTACATCTCAGAACACAGCAAAGGAAGAAGTAAAGATGCCAGGTGAAAATGAAGCATTTTTAGGGGCAGCGTGCAGGCTGAGTGTGAGGCTGTGTGAGGCTGAGTGCGTAAAGGGCTTTCCAGCAAAGCTTTAAAAGGAAAACTCCTCTTCGTATACATGTCCCAGCCCAATGGTGGAAAACAGACTTCTTCAAGTGGATGTTTCTAGATAGGCTGAAGAAGGTAGAGGCCTCAGATGTGGATAGCATTTCCTGTTGCTTTCCCAGAAACATGGAGGAGGTGTCACCACTACCAACCCTTGACTAAGTTTGCTCTGAAAATTCCTTTTCACGCTATCAAAATTTTAATCATCCTGAAAAACCATTGTTTTGAAGGAACTACTGTTGGTGGGCCTGGAGTGCAGAGGAGAGGGGGGGCCTGCAGAGGCTTCAGGGAGCACTCCTTGGTGGGGAAGACAGAAACTCTGAGTGACCCACAGGCAGAGATGGTGTTCCTTCAAGGAGGCCGAGGGTGCGTCCTTGAATCCAGGGATGGGTCTTGGCCAACGACCTGAACCCTATCCCCCTCCCAGAGCTTAGCCTGTGGGAAAGGTAGTCCTCTGTTTCCCATTAGTCACACTCATTTCTCTTGTAGTCATCTGTCCGCACCCCTAAATTATCCCAGCAAGAAAAGCATGAAAAACTAGCTGAAGCTACCTAATGAATAAGCCTGCCTTTGCTGTAAAAATGATCACCAAAGTTCAAAGTAATTACAAGCAAAACTATCTCAACCAGGTTTTTAACTAATCAACAGTTTATGTTACATATTTGATAAAAATGGTTTTATTTGAACTATTCAGTGATTTCTTGTCTAATTATTTCCCTCCCTATAGTTACAAAGAAAGGATGGCTTAATTGAAAGGAATGCTGATCTTCCAAACATTGGAGGCAAAGGACAGAATTTGGTTTGTTTCTTTTCAAAATATAGGAAAAAGGGAAGTTAATAGGTCTCTCTTTCTTTAAGCTTTATAAAACACATTAGTATAATATGTAAGTTTCATAGACATATGTATGTATATAAAAAGTCATTTACAGAAGCACATTCATAAGCAGGAGGTATAAAATTTAAAAGTAGAGAGAAAGGTAACACAGACTGCCAAGAATTAAGGAGAAAAGATGACAAACACTGACATTTTAAAAATGACAGGATTGTGCTCGCTTCGGCAGCACATATACTAAAATTGGAACGATACAGAGAAGATTAGCATGGCCCCTGCGCAAGGATGACACGCAAATTCGTGAAGCGTTCCATATTTTTGAGATGGATGAAACTGGAGCCCATTATACAGAGCGAAGTAAGCCAGAAAGATAAAGACCATTACAGTATACTAACACATATATATGGACTTTAGAAAGATGATAACGATAACCCTATATGCAAAACAGAAAAAGAGACTCAGATGTATAGAACAGACTTGTGGACTCTGGGAGAAGGCGAGGGTGGGATATTTCAAAAGAACAGCATTGAAACATGTATATTATCTAGGGTGAAACAGATAACCAGCTCAGGTTGGGTACATGAGACAAGTGCTCGGGCCTGGTGTGCTGGGAAGACCCAGAGGGATTGGGTGGAGAGGGAGGTGGGAGGGGGGACTGGGATGGGGAATACATGTAAATCCATGGCTAATTCATTTCAATCTATAACAAAAACTACTGTAATGATGTAAAGTAAAATTAGCCTCCAACTAATAAAAATTAAAAAAAAAAAATGACAGGATCAAGCTAACACTAGATATAGAGAAGAAATATTTAAGAAAAGCCTTTAGAGGACACCAAGACATCTAGCTGAGTTAATTTATGGAATCCTCAAGAGGATGATGGCAGGACTCTGAAAATTTTTTAAACCAAATAAATGAAAAAAATCTGATAAATGTTTGTTAATTTAAAAATTCATGGATTTTCTTTTTCTTTTTTGGTTGCACTATGCAGCTTACTGGATCTTAGTACCCTAATCAGGGATTGAACCTGCACCCTTGGCAGTAAAAGTGTAGAGTTCTGAACACTGGACCTCCATGGAACTCACTCATGAATATTTTTATAAAGTGAAATGAAGATGTTTTCTTTAGAAATAAAAAGTGATATGCTAGCCATATGCCATTGAAAATATTTTCTTACATACACTGTACTTCCACTTAATGGTTTGTGTGCAAATTTTAACTGCTTATAAATCAGCCCAAATACTTCTCTAAATGGATTCAATCATTCTTTTAAATAGAAGATACCAACTCACCAGGACAACTGCAATATTTCTGTGCCTTGCTCCACAGGAGGCAGCAGTCCTGGAATCAATCAGTGGGGGCTTGGCCTAGCTGGTTTCCCTGACAACAGAATCATGTCTCAATTCCACTTTTACATTATTAACATTTACAGTCTTAATTTTTTTAAATTTTCTTAATTATAATTTTTTAAAATTCAAGTAATATAGAAGCAGCAGGTTCCTTTTCTGAGCATGCTTCTGAAGATACACGTGTTCTCGTCTTCCTTCTCAAATGATTACACATACTCAAGGCACGCTCTGCTGCTAACAGCACACTTTAGAATGGATAAATGAAATGACATTAAGCCTTTGTTCACTTGGCTCTCATCATTTAAAAAAAAAAGTGGAATAAAAAGAATGCTCAGGAGGTAAATCCAAGAAGGCGAGATTTAGCAGCAATTGTATTTCTAATAAGAAGGCTTAAAGAAATAAGTAAACAAGTGGACAGATAAATGTGCAAAGGATGAGTACTCTATGTTTACACCCTTAAAAAAGAGGCACGTGGTGAAACCAATTAGGATATATCCATCCCAAGGAATGCTATATGGTCACTAAAAATGATGAACCACAGCTGGACCTACCAAAATGAAACAATATTTAGGTTACACATCTAAGTAATATAAAAGGGTTCCAGAATACTATACTAGGCAATTACATTCCATATGTCCATATAAATATGTATGCATTAAAAAGGAGAGATACCAAAGTATAAAGGGTGGGCATCTCTACTTGATTCTTCATTTTCTTCTTCTACTCTGTATTGTTTGAATTTTTTTTTATAATGAGCATGTATTTTTATACTAGAAAAAAGTGATTTTCAAACAGTTTTCCTGACCATTTTACATATTTAAAAATAGAATCTTGACAAGCAAGGAAACACAAAAAATTACATCCTGGAATTTAAGTTTGTACAGCAGGATAGACTACATTAGGTGTTCCTGGGAAAGCTCTGAACTTTCTATCTGGAGTTCTGCTTTGGGAATCAATTCATCACTGACATTCCTTTAAGTGTGAAAGGGAAAAGGGCTTCGAGTATGACATTGAGTACAAACAATGCCAACATGTCTGAATGTTTCTTATCTTTCACAATAATCTATTTTCAGAATAGTACCGTCTACTATTTTTGTCCTCCAGTCCCCACATTCTCCCATTTCCTCTCAATCAATGACCGCTCTTCTTTGAAGCAGCACAATATACCGGTTCAGAGTCCCCAGAAAACCACTGTGATACAGGCAGAGAGCATCTGAGTCACCCATTAAAAATCTGAGAAAGCCCAGAAGACCCTGATACCACCTTTTACTCCTCAAGAGAGACCAAAACTTGAGAGGCCTGAAAAAATATACAAAACCGAGAAAGGACATGGGGAGGAGCCAGGCAGAGAATTAGAATTCTTCTCTCAGGAAAGATAGAAGCAGAGACTGCTGGAAGCAAATAGCTGAGGGCAGGGGAGAGCCTTGGGGAAAGGGTAGCCAAACTTCCAAAGTCTGAAAGAAAATAAGGGCAAACAAAGGCTCCACTTGCAATTGGTTATCAGGTGGAACAGAGAGTGTAATTAAAGTTTTACATGAAAAGACACTTTAAGTTGGCATCTTTATGAAGAATATAACCAGTTTCAGCTATTTAAGAACATCAAGGAGATAACTGTAATCACCACAGCCAAGGATGGGCTTTTGTAGCAGTCATGCAAATGAAAATAACGCGGGTGTATAAAATGTTTTGAAACGGTATGTAACTTTAACCTATGTGCTCCTCTCCAGTCCAGTGCCACTGCCCCCCACCTAGAGGTAACCTCTGTTCTGAATGTTTTCTCTTACCTTAAAAAAAATTTTTTTTAACTATGATAAAATACACATAAAATTTATCACTTTAACCATTTTAAAATATACATTTCAGTAATATTAAGTACATTCACATTGCTGTGCAACCAACCTTCAGAATTCATTTTTTCAAAACAGAAACTCTGTACCCACTAAACAACTCATCACCCCTCCATGCCCTGGCAACCACCATTCTACTGTCCTTAAGAATTTGTTTTGAATATTTAAATACCTGATACAAGTGGAATCATACAGTATTTGTCTTTTGTAACTGGCTTGTTTCACTTAGCATATCCTCAAGGTTTATCCATGTTGTAACATATGACAGGATTGCCTTCCTTTTATTAATCCATTGGTCCATCAATGAACACGAGTTGTTTCCAAGTTTCAGTAATTGTGCATAATGCTGTTATGAACATAGGTGTATAAATATTTCTGAGACCCTACTTTCAATTCTTTTGGATATATACTAGACCTGAAACTGCTAGGTCATTTGGTAATTCTACCTTTAACTTTTTGAGGAACTGCTATACTATTTTCCATTCCATCTGCACAATTTTAAATTCCCATCAATAGTACACAAAGGTTTCAATTTCTCCATATCCTCATCAACACTTGTTATTTTCAGGGTTTTTTTTTTAAGTAGCCATTCTATTGGTTGTGAAGTCACAGTTTGATTTGCATTTCTCCAGTGATTTGTGATGTAAAATATCTTTTCATGCACTCATTGTTCATTGTATATCTTCTCTAGAGAAATGTCTATTCAAATCATTTGCCAATTTTTAAACTGTTTTTCTAGCTGTTGAGTTGTAGTTCTTTATATACTCTGAATAACCCTTATCAGATATGATTTATATTTTCCCCCATTTCACAGGTTGTTTTCAACATGTCCTCTGATGTACCAACATTTTTTTATGAACTCCAATTTTTTTTTCTCTCCTGTGCTTTTGGTGTCATATCCAAGAATCACTGCCAGACCCAGTATCATGTAGCTTTCCCCGTGTTTCTAAGAGTTTTATCATTTTAGCTCTTCTGTTTGTGTCTTTGATCTGTTTTGAGTTCATTTTGTACAGCGTAAGGCAGGGGTCCAACTTCATTATATTGCATGTGTATATACAATTTTCCCAATACCATTTGTTGAAAATACAGTCCTTACCCCACTAAATAGTCTTGGCACTCTTCTCAAAAATAATTTCACCATATATGTGCTCCTTTATCTGTGCTCCTTTTTAAACTATTAACTCCAGATTTCATTCAAATTTCATCAGTTTATTATTGTCCTTTTTCTATTTCAGAATCCAACCCAGGATACTACATTACCTTTAGTTGTCAGATCTCCTTAGCCTCCTCTGGTCTGTGACAGTTTTTCATGACCTTGATAGTTATGAGTATTGACAAGAATTTTGTTTACTTTAGTTTGATTTAGTTTAGTCTGATGCTGTCTCAAGATTCAACTAGGTTATGGGTACTCGGAAAGAATACCACTAAGGAGAAGGGCCCTTTTGATTACATCGTACCATCAGGTCTGTGACATCCACATGCCAGCACTATGATGATAACCCTGGGCTCTTAGTTAAGCTAGTGTCTGCCAGGTTTCTCCACTGTAAGGTTGCCTGGTTCTCCATCTTCATACTTTATTCTTTGGAGTTGAGTCACTAAGTCTAGCCCACGCTTACCTGGGGAAGGGCATGCTCCACCTCCTGGAGTGTGGGGTCTACACATATTATTTGGAATTCTTCAATAAGACTTCTCTTTTTTTCTTAATTGTTTTGGAAAATATTTTCATCTCCTATGTAGGCAGCCTAGGGGTATACTTAGTTTTGCTTGTTTTTGAAATTTTGCTGTTGATGAACATTTGTTATTTATAATATTTTGCTATTAAAGAGCAATGCTGCTATCATCACTGTTGTACGTGTCTCCTGATAACTCGTGTGCAAGTTTCTTCAGGAAATATACCTAAGAGCGGACATGCTGAATTATAAGCCATGTGTCATATTCAAATGTACAAGATAATGCCAGACTGTTTTCCACAATGGTGGTATCAGTTTGCATTCTTATCAGCAGGTATAA